TGCGACAGGCTGTCCATGCCGAGGATCATTACGGACAGACGTTCCTGCTCATCCTTGCTCTTATTGAAGCTAACCCTATCGGTTCCACTTTTAATTGGCGGTCTTACCCGCGGCTTTTCCACCGCAAGAAAGTGACAGTCCTTGTAGAGAAGTTTGTCCGCGGAATCATAGCACCACATGCAAATGAATTCCAGGTCTGGCGGAAGTTTCACCACCTTCTTCAGCTTAAAACCCACAGGCGGACTGTGGGTGTTGCTGGAATCGGTGTTCCGCTTCACCTCCGTGAAGTTGCAACTCACGGAGGACAGGTCACTGATGTTGTAGTAGGTGAGCAGCTCACTGGCGTCCAGGTTGAGGTGCAGCTCGCCGGGAACCGTGTCACTGGTCCGGACCAGAGCCCTGTTGCAGCTGTAGGGACGCGGCTTGAACATGAACTGGGCAATGGTGTCGTCGGTGACCTCGAAGTGGGGCATCCGACAGCCCGGGGTGTCCACGAAGTAGGCCGTGGTCACATTCACGCCGTAATGGTCCTCGATGCGGGCCATGAAATCGAAGCCATCGCGGAAACGGAGCAGCTTCGTCCTGAGATTATAGTCCACGCACAGGTAGGAAAACACGCAGAGGCAGAAGATCACAATCACTATCTTCTTGAACTGGCCGCGGTTCTTGTTCATGTTGTAGTAGCGGTAGTATTGCTGCAGATCCCGCTTGGTCATAAACTTCGGATCCAGCAGGTATTTGCTTCTGTGGAAAAAACAACAAGATAGTGATTAACTTGATTTTTATGTATAGCAGAAAAATCCAAGGGGAGGTGTTTGGAAGAGATATGTGGTCGTATTCAGATATATGATTTATAAATATATCCTATTATAATATAGATACATATATATATTTTTGATAAAAGAATAATATCGAATAAATCTATTAGATTTTAAATATGCAAACATAAAATTTGAAAAGCATATTAATTTATATATAAAAATAATTGTAAGTATTATTGTATTCACTTTTTTATAAACGAATTACATTAAAAGTTAGTAATCATTTCTTATAAATGCATTTGAAACTGGATATGGTAGAACTATAGTAACATTATTGTTCTTGTAAGTTTAATAGGCCGAAAATTTTAAGAAACTATCATGGCTAGCAAACCATCACCATCCATCATTTCTTAATTCAGTTTGGTTCATTGCCTTCGTAATTCACTCGAGCTCTTCTCATCACCCGTTGACCTTCCATGTTTACCACAAACTTCTGGTAGGTTCATTGTATTCTCTATAGAGCTTAGCAGTTTTTTATGCTGACAGCCATTAATTAAGGCAACAAACAATATAATGACTGCCCGAGACAAGAGAAGCGTTGCGAGTGGCCACTCAGCCGAAAGTCCTTAATCCGCTGCCCGCCTAGACATCCACAACCCACTTTCAGGTCCTTCGACCCACCCACCACACCTCCCAGAAGTTTGGTTCCTGTGTCGAGAATTGCAGGGGAACGTGATGCTGTCAAAGTATTTCAATTTAAGCCAGGGCTAGCTCATGAATATGCAGCCGAGGAACGCCCAATGAAGTAGGCAATACAAAATGAACATACGAGATTCTGTTACAGTGTAAGAATGGTATGTAACACCAAGAAAAATGTAGTGTGAGTAAGAAAACAGTGAGGTAATACTTTTGAGATGGAATGTCATGTAGACAGGAGGCATGCTAGCCGAGAAAAATGAGCTATTATTAAATGGCTTGTTACTGGTTTCACTTAATGTAAGTTTAAATATAATAAGTTGGCCTTAGAGTATTTGTTAGCATAGCAGTTCAAATAATATAACAACATTTGATAACACTCGAAAGGCTTGAAAATAAAAAAATAAAGATAGGGTAGCCCCGTAAATCAAAATAGATAACATGATAAAATGTAATTTTAATCGTTAAATATCAAATTCAAATCAATAAAACCATTAGGAAAATGGAATAGATACATCACAGACTACCATAATGCTTATCCCATTTCTCGTTCTCTGTAACCAATTTTTTCTTTGGCTAGGTGAAATCCATTCAAAGGAATTTCCTTTCCAATCCATCCGATTGTGGACAAAAACAAAATTTTCAGTTGACACTTGGAATTGCATTTTACTCGAGTAAGCACATGGAAAGAGGAGGAATCGAATGGTCTGAAGGGCTGAGGGAAGCGGATAAGCGTTGAAATGGCATTCGGCTCGAAAGCTCCAAGCAAACAAGCGATGACACACAATGACACACCTGTCCTCTGCCTCCCAGCCACCACCCCCCGTCCCCCAGCACTCTAACTCCCCAAAAGCCCACCTCCTTTTTCGGAATCCTTTGATGTTCAATGGAGGGGGTTTGCCCATTTTGGTACTTACTCATAGCTCAAATCGCCGTATTTTCGCATATCCTTCGCCGTGTAGTAGGTACGCATCTTGGCGACACTTGCGGATCCTGATGCGTCCTAAGTTCCGTTAGTCTCACCCTTCCTGGCACCCTTATCCTCCGCCACCAAGCCCCCTTCCTCCCCCCGGCTCAAGTCCTTGACATCCTGTTTGCTTTCTAGTTAGTCCGACTTTTGTTTTGTTCTCCGTGCTCTGCTTATTCCGCTAATTGTTTGTGGGCCACATTTTATGCACTTTCGATACAACAATTTTCACACGACTGCACTCGCTCGGCTTTTTGCATCCGCGCCTCCTCGTCCCTCCACCCCTTTTGTAGTCCTTTTCGCCCAGTTAGTTATGTTGTTTTTGTTTGAGTTTTCAATTGCCACGCTTTGTTGCGAATTACTGCAGATTTCGTTTCCGTTTCAGTTGGCTCCTCATCGCACACTGGGTTTCCGCAGGACTCGCACTCGGAGGCTGTGGGCACCCAGGATTACTGGCTCTCTTCTGCTCTCCCAATGTTTTGACAGTCCCGTTACTCGGGTGGGCGGTTCGGGCGCAGGCGCGTGTCCTTCGCGTGACAGATGCTCCAGGGATGCTGTGCTTGCAAAAATGACACTCAGAGAAATCAGTAAAGCCACCCCTGAACTCTACCAGGCCTCTTCTGATTTGTACTTTCAAGACATTTTCAAAATTCAATTTTACTTGGAATTCGTTTTATATTTAACCTGGCAAAATTTTAGACAATATTGTTATATTATCTGCAAAGTTATAAAATAAAGTTAAGCCTTTTCTCTAAAAAATTACAAACTTGTAACATTTGCTCAAATTGACATGGAGTAAATGACAGGCGGAATAGGCCTTAGAATTTACAAATATAGAGAGGAATGAGATTTTTAAATGGTTTTTATTTTTGGTTATTCATGAATCAAATAAAATATTTTCTTTAAAAAATTCGATATAATAAACGAGATACCATTTGAGAACTGTAATAAAATCGATGAAATAAAATAAGTCCCTTACAGAACTTTTTTAGTTGCCTTAGAATTTTTAAATTCAATTGCTACTTCCCCAGAAATCCTTATTTGCTTTAAACATTTTCTTATTTTCTTTGTTTAAGATATCGTTAAGTTGAATCGACAATATATTTACTTCTTCCCTAGAACACCTTATTTGATTTTACTTTTATCTTATTTAATTTGTTTAAGGTATCCTCAAGTAAAACCAAATGAAATTACTACTTCCCCAAAAATTCGTATTAGTTTTTAGCATTTTCTTATTTAATTTCTTAAAGGTAAACCAAATGAATTACTATTTTTCCAGAAAACCTTAATGGTTTTAATTCTTTCCTATTTTATTTGTTTATGGTATCCTTAAATAAAACCAAATTTAATTACAACTTCCCCAGAACTCACTATTAGTTTTAAACCTTTTCTTATAATATTTGTTTAAGCTATCTTTAAGTTAATATAAATTAATCCACGGAATGTGTTGGCATATTTTGTATTTATGTATTTTTATACATGCACAAAAAATTTTGTTTTTGTTTAGTTTATGGCCTTTTTGCGGACTTCTATTGTGAATTGCCTATTGAAATGACTCACACTGGGTAATTAATGGAGGTAGTCTTATTGCTTAGAACTGTTTAGTGGCCATTGAACTCTGATTCGTAAGTCCCCTGCTGGTTCTTTAGTGTATAACTCCTTAGTGAAGTTATGGTGGCAGAAAAAGTCGAAATATATACATAAGGTAAGTTGTAGTGCAAAGTAAAATCCGTTTTAAGCAAGTTAATGATATTTAAAAAGCGGATAAAATAAAATTATTCAAATTATTTTATATTAGGTCAGTAACAGTACTTAAAAATGTGTTGCTTTCAAGGGTAAGAAGGCCTTTAGAAATATTCAGGAATTATTAATAAATAATAGAGTTTCTTATGAAGCCCAATATTTGTTAGCCACTTTTGAATCGAAAACCTTAATTTTGATTTTAATGACCTGTAATCCCAAATAATCTGCCTTTCATATGGATGCACCATGTTTTAAGGGATCTTTAACATGCAAAATACTTAAGTCCCACTCAGGGACTCAAATGGGTGGACACATGCAGCGAGGAGTCAACTGAGTTCGTGGCCAACCCACCCCACACCATTCCATTCACTTTGGCCGGCTTCTCGTTTTTTGGGCTTAACGAGCAACAAGTGGAGGCAAACCGGGCCAAAGGACACCCACATTCCGCTCATTAGACCGACCTACCGAAAAAGCGCAACAGGCTGCAGCCAACACACCCATCCTCCCACATATTTGTGGTCGGTTGATGTGTGTGCGTTAATAACTTGGCTGCAGGCAGGACATGGATTTTGATGTTCGATAATTACAGCAACGGCCAGGGAGCAACAACAAGGACGCCGAGTGGGAGAAGCAATCGTAAATCAAAGTATGAAAAAAGCATTTCACTGTTGGACCAGCTCCATCCCGATTAACAAGCGTCTATAATGCTTCATTACTGTAAAAAATAAAGGGAGCTGAATGAAAAAAAACCAGCGAAAGCCAAGAAATTGGCTGCTATAAAAGCGTCGAACGCAACAAGGCAACGCTTCAGTTGATTTTTCAAAATTGTCGAACGCAGGACAGGCTTTGACATTAATTAGTTTCCCGCCAGAATGCAACACCCACCTGGGCAGAGAGCAGTGGAGGCTGCCAGGCGCCAATCTGCCAGGAAGAGGAGTCCAGCCAGGAGCAGGAACGAGGGCCACCTGGCCAGCAGAACCTATCACCTGCCAGCCTTGTTGATTATCCTGCTCGTCCTCGTCCAGAACTTCGAGCTGCACATGTGCCGGCAATTGATGAGGTACCCGGGCGACAAACGATCCCCGGACAAGCTGCTCTCCATCGGCGGCAGTGCAGCCGGGGAGGTGACATCGCCGGGGGCGCATCCCAATCCGGCGGATGGCAAGCGGGCGGACGGAAGGTCGGCGCCCAGCCAGCCGGAGGAGATTTTCAGCGCCCCTGCCGACGAGGGCTACGACGAGTATCCGGTGAGCCAAGTCCCTAAAAAAATTATAAATAATAAAGTGTCCGCGTGGGTCGTGTTGTTGAATCCCTATCACCTTACACACAATTTGTAAATGTATATTTTTTATTTGATTGCTTTTCGGCTTTGACCCCAAGCTACACTGAGCTGACGTCACATCACTTTGATTATGCCAGGTGCATACTACTGGTGGGTCTAATGAGAGCTCCTTCTGACCGTAGGTTTGTCGAAACACTTACGGAAACACTTTTAGCCTTAAATTAAAAATGCTTAGAGGTCAGGTTCAATGCGTGGGCAGTATGTTTCCGGAGCTTGGAAAACATTTAACTAATTGAAAATGAAGTTTCAGAATTCACTTGGCATGTAAAGCTTATGGGAACATATACCATTCATTGTGGTGTAAATATAGATAAAGTGATAAAATATAAAAGAACAGAATAATAATCGTTGTTTATATAAGTAATTTGAGATACTAAATCTTTCAATAGAATTTTAAGGTATTATAGTATAGTGTAATCCCTTCCAATTACAATTTTTCAACGAAGCTCCCAAAAATTTGTTATTAAAAAAAGTATCAGCATTGCAACATTATTAGATTGTGTTAAAACATTTTTATTTTCCTATTTATAAACATTTTTAAATGGATTGACATATACAACAAACTGTTAAGCTCGATATCTTAAAAAATAAACTCATTTATATCCGTTTATTTTGCATGACTTGTTTAAATCGACCTTTTTATACGCTTGCATAAACTCCCCAAAATATTTATTAACAATACTCCATATATATATCCTTAAATATATAGATGGTAGTCCCAAAGCGAGCAGCCTTACTGCTGGATCGCCTTATGGTCGCTTTACATCACGCCCTCGAACAAGAGCGAAGTGAGCAAAGAATCGGCGAATTCTTCGGAGACAAGAACATTCTGAATGGTAAATTTGGCGAATATCACAACGGATTGGAGCCTCATCAAGTGAGGGAGGATGGTAAGTACCGATATGGCGTCTTATTAAGGGACCCAAATGAATGTATCATATAATTCAGGGATGTACAGCGACGATGATTCGGGAACAATGTTGGATTATGATTTCAAAGATTTGAACCAGATCAATCGCGCCACTGGCGAAACAGTAAGTTGGAACATAAAACCTAAATTGCAATATAAGACATAAAATTAGCAGCGCGATGTGTAAGAAAATTTCAGTTAATGCCAAAGAGCTTTCAGAGAAGAGCGGGCGCAGATCGATCTGGAACCTCCGCCAATTCCGGTTCCCCATCTGGTCCCCGGCGTATCCAACCATCCGGATCCGGCGGTGGCCGAGCGTACTGGCGTTGCTATTTCAATGCCGTCAGCTGTTTTTGAAAAACACCAATATACAGACCATCATAATATCCGCCTCTGGAGTGGGCTAAATGCCGAAAAAATGCCAAATTCCAGCTGATCATCTTCAGAGAGGTGTTTGAAAAACCAGTTTCGAATTTCTGCGGTTGCTGATGTGAGAGTTATTCGCGCCATTAACTGAAATCCCCAAGTTCTGTAATTATATATCTAGTGGTATCTGTATCTAGTATCTGTATCTGTAACTGTATCTGTGCATTTGTAACTCACTGTGAATCTGCGTTATAAATAAACCCCCAACGATAAGTCCAACGGCATTCATTAATGAATTAATTCAAACACCCATACTCGTAGGGGAATATAAATTCTGTATATTTGAGGGTAATTTCGGGTAGACAGGTAATCCTACCAATCCTGCCTAATGCTGACTGACATAACCATAAATCGCAATTCTGAGCAAATCCATCGCACGCCCTCAGTTCGTGTCCCATTGCGATCTATTTTAGGTGTAACTCGTAGGCGGGCTCCTAGCGGAAGTAGTACCCTTATCAGGTAATGTCCTTATCTAATTCATTGCTGAGGTGGGCTGCGGGTCCATGATTTCATAGATTTATCTAAAGGACTGTATGTACATTGTACACATTTGAGATTTACAACCCTAAGGTATGTATATGTAATATTATATCTTTTAAACTTTCAGCACTACGCTTTCTCGGCTTTTAGGTCAAATACACAAATTTTTATCAGGTTTTTTTTGACATTTCTATTACATAAATTCATACAAGTAATAATTTATCTTCAAAATTCTCAGAACTATGCTTGCTCGGTTTCAGTTTTCAATTAACATAAGACTGACCTATTTTTATACCCGTTACTCGTAGAGTAAAAGGATATACTAGATTCGTCGGAAAGTATGTAACAGGCAGAAGGAAGCGTTTCCGACCCCATAAAGTATATATATTCTTGATCAGGATCACTAGCCGAGTCGATCTAGCCATGTCCGTCTGTCCGTCTGTCCGTCTGTCCGTCTGTCTGTCCGTCCGGATGAACGCTGAGATCTCGGAAACTATGGGAGCTAGGCTATTGAGATTTGGCGTGCAGATTCCTGAGCTTCTTACGCAGCGCAAGTTTGTTTCAGCACAGTGCCACGCCCACTCTAACGCCCACAAACCGCCCAAAACTGTGGCTCCTACAGTTTTGATACTAGAATAAAAATTTTAGCTGAAATGTATTGTTCTCATCAATACCTATCGATTGATCCAAAAAAAAGTTTGCCACGCCCACTTTAACGCCTACAAACCGCGAAAACCTGTGACGCCCACAATTTTCATGCTAGATAAAAAATTTTAGCTGAAATGTATTGGTCTCGTCAATACCTATCGATTGATCCAAAAAGAAATTTGCCACGCCCACTCTAACTCCCACAAACCGCGAAAACCTGTGACGCCCAAAATTGTTATGCTAGATAAAAAATTTTAACTGAAATGTATTGGTCTCGACAATACCTATCGATTGGTCCAAAAAAAAAATTTGCCACGCCCACTCTAACGCCCATAACGCTTAAATCTGTATACCGCCGGTAGGTGGCGCATTTTAATCTCGCTTTGCTGCTTGCATATCTCCATTTAGCTGAGTAACGGGTATCTGATAGTCGAGGTACTCGACTATAGCGTTCTTCCTTGTTTATAGTAAATTCAATATCCAATTTACCATCTTCTTTAAACTTTAAACTATAGCTTACTTAGTAAATATATTATTTTTGTTTCATTTGTTATAAATATTCTATTTGAAAGTTGCAAATATTTCTTTAACATTACATCAATAAAATATTTTTATTGTGCCCCGGTGAAGATTTGCTTAACTTTTTATAAATATTAAATATTTTGTTAAATGACATGTTATGCAGTACCTATATTTAAAGTCCTTTCTGCTTCTTCCTCCATTTGATTCCACAACCCTCTAAGGTGAGATTTCCCACATTCCATCTTTCTCTCCTTTGTATGCAAATTAACCACTCGAACTTCTGGCAAACTATGCACCGTCGATTGCCAACTCAAAGTCAATGCATAATATTATCTGTGGGTCAATCGCCTTCCATAATGAACTGTTAAACTAAACTGGCGATCGGTTTAAGTGTGCAATGCACGTTTATTGCCTGACCACCTTGGCTGCAAAGTCGACTGGCAAAGTTTTATTGGCCAATAGCGGCCATTAATGAGTTTGTTGGAGCACACATTAATAGACTTTTATGTACATCTAATTGCCCCCGATAATTGATGGCCCGGCAGCGCTTGACTTTAACTGCCTGGCTAGAGCAAAAGCCGCTTCCAAAAACACACACCGATGATAAATCCATAACTAATTTTTTCGACTTTTAGATACCCGGCAAACGAGAAAGATTACTCAATTAAGCAGCTTCGTAAATCAAAATAAAGAATTTAAAAATTATATTATTGAAACGGGTTCTTTATACTACATAATCATCATTATTAGTTTTTTTATCATTATTAGTTTTTGTTTTGCATTCATTTTTAATATTTACTTCATCCAGTGGCGGAAATGCTTAATAAATATAAGTTTTCTATTTTGTGATAAATAGTATTTACTGCATTCAGTGGCGGAAGTGCTTAATTTTCCGCGAATGCAATACCACCCTTATATTATTCGACTACCGCGAAAAATATCTATTTCAGAGAGTGTTTATGCCACAATCTCACTTTTGCACATGGCGCGATTTTCTTATCGAAAGACCATAAATCAATGGCGGATGTAAAGCCTACTGTCCAAATGCATGGCAACTCTTTTTATGTAATCTCTACGTCATAGATAGTGTGCTGCTAAGTATGCAACAGGTTTCGTACGAGTCGGTTAATCAGCAACAGGTGCCGTTACTCGCTGCTACTCACCACGCCGAGTGGGTGGTGGGGGTCCTGGTGGGTGGTCCACGTACTCGCCTCGCAGTGTCCCATGTCCGTGTGGTGAATTAATAAGTCGCACATTGTTCATACGCCCCATTGTACGAGCAGAAACCACTTGGATGTTGGTATTTCGGATGAGTATGCGACCGGGGGATGCTCTAGGGGATTGAAAAAAGAACAGTTTTCAAGCATTTAGTTAATAATAATTATCAATAATAATAATAATAATGATCATATATTCAGAAGTCTTCATAAGTGAGGGTAAAAATATGTATATTCTGGATTTTAAAGGCTTCTGACAGTTTTTGACCCTATTAACTTAATTATAATCAATTTAAGGTTTTTGCTTAAAAACGTTTAATAATATTATTTATTATACTAGCGTCCTTATAAATATCATAAATACATATTAACAAAAATTTAATTGAAATGTTCAAAGTTGTATTTGAAGTCATTGTATTTAAAGCCCGAAATAAGTATTCTGAGCTGTAATGGATTTTGAAAATTTTTTTCCCTATTAACTTAATTTTTATCAGTTTCAAATAGTTGCTTAATAATGTAACATATTTTTATGTATTATCCTAAAGTCAGTATAAATATTTTTAATACACATCAAAGAAAATTTAATTGAAATGTTCAAAGTTGTATTTAAAGTCATTATATTTAAAGCCCAAAAAAGTAGGCTTTAATTCTCCTTATATTCGCCTTAAATGACTGAAAAGGATTTTTCCAGGAATTAACTTTATATCAGTAGGTTTTGCAATATTTTAAATTGTTTTAGTCACAGATTAGTAGAAATCTTTCTTGAATATTTCTAATCAAAAATGTAGTTTTTGGTTTTGTACTGAAGAAGGTATATTTTTTGGGGTTCCTATGCATCCTATGCTTGTACCCTCCTAGCATACCAGGTACCTACTATATACAAGTGTAAGTCCTGCTGGCTGCAGTGTCGGCTTGACATGAGGCATAAAGCTTTGCCTAAGCAGACGCCCCCTAACGAATAACCCCCACCCCCTGGACCGCCCCCTCACCCCTCCCCCGTCTCCGTCTCCTGTTTTCCCGGCAGCTCTTACTTCCTGCTGCTGCTGCTGTTGATTCTGCCGCTGATTCTGCCGCTGCCGGCGTCGCTGCCCTGGGTGCTGTTTGCTATTTTGTATATAAAGCCCGGTAGCAGCCATCGCCAACATCGAGTTACCAATTTCCCTTCTTGGCGTTCACATCGAGAGCGAAAGCAGCAACAAGTAAACCCAGCCACAGGATCAGATCAGAAGTTCTACCCTTAAAACCCACAGTTATTTCACACTTCAAGGCAAGGTCAAATCCAAAAAGTTCGCGAAATTATCAGATCGACAAGGCACCTGGCGCCAGAATTCTCTAATTTACCGACGCCAATTGAATTGCCGGCGATTCCCAATCTCATCCAGTATCAAAGTATCTGTAAGTATCGTGTGTGCTTACCTTGGCCAATTGGCTTTTTGGCGATTAATTGAAATGAGCAGTAATGTGTCTAACAGAATTAATTTGTAAACGCAGAAATTGTGGCACAGGTGAATAATTTCAGAGCAAAAGAAAAATTGCCGGTGATATCATATCATTTGGGTTTTCCTCCTAAAACAATTTAATGAAGAGTTAGAAGCAACAAGTTCTTAAAATTACTAATTTTAAATATTATTCTTTCACTTTTAATAACTCAAACAAATTTAAAAGAGACTAGAATTATTAAATTTTTGATGCAATCAGATGTTTAATATATATTCCAGCTTAATATTAAACGAGTACAATTCATAACACAAAATAGCATTTTTATGAATAATTGAAGCCAATTTGTTTGTTTTCCAAATTCCGTGCAAATTGACTCAAAGCTGTTCTTCCTAAAATGAGTTCATAAAAGTTCTGCAAATTGATGGGCCTTTAACAACATTGAAGGTAAAGAAAGGTTCGTTTTGCCCTCGCACAAGTTGACGAATATATGTGCAATTCATAGGCCATATATTACCACCCCATTTCTGTGCTCCATCTTTTTGTTTTTTTTTTGTTTTGCATATGCCAGTACATCCATTTCCCTAGGGACTTTCCCAGAGCCCACCTAATGACAGACCGAAACAGGAGCAACTGCTTCCTCTGCTCATTGAAAATTATGTGAATTATTAATGAAGCGTAGAAAAATCAGGCACACGCACAAAACATTCACTTCATTTGATTTGGACTTCAATCTCGAATCGAGCTGCTGATAATAAATAACTTCACTTGACTTGGTACGTCTCGTTTTGGTTTGTTTTAGTCGATTCACGCCGAAACCGCAATCAAATTGCATTTAATATTTATTAGAATACGCCTACAGTTTTCATGGCGGTTTTCCTGCGGCTTATTGGCATCAATGGGGCAGATAATTTTCCGCTGAAATTTCCGGCGAAATTTAGCGAACTTGTTTGTTTAGAAAGCTCTATGTACTGTTATTAATATAATTAGGATAAATACACAAAAATGGATGTCATTTGCATAAATAATAGGCTTAAACAAGTGGGGGAATATTGATCAGAAACCGCAAAAACCTTCAAGAGTATCATACAATTTAAAGAATTATTTTTGTCATCTTTCCACCCACGTTCCCCACAAAAATTGTAATCTAATTGGTTAGACAACTCTTCCACTTTGAACCGCATTTTTTGCAAATCAGAACATAACCACAAAAATAAAAAAAACCCAAAGAAACTCGATACAACTTCAAGTGCTTCACACCCCCGCTGCAAATGGGAAACATAAAAACCATTTTGATACGTATTTGAAGATGTCTGAAGTTTCCAGTTTTCGGTAACCGACTGACTGACGTAATTTTAATTTGCTCCCTCGAAAATATCATATGACCAGATAAATCACACGGCCAAGGACACGGCCATCGTCCTGTCAGGCACACATTAATGAAGCCCACGCCAGGTCCTTCGGGCAAATATTTGCCCAGCGACATTTGTCCTTAGCTAATTTTAAAGTTCTTTCCGCCGCAAGCGGAAAATGTGACGAAAAAAATGAATGGAACTCAGAGTGGAACCGGAATAAAGCCGCCGGATTAGGCAGGATACGGGGGAATACTGTAAATTGCCACGTGGAAATTGCATTTTCCTTTGCTCCATTTTTTCCCACCACCTCCTTGTTTTTACTTCCAGCACTTGCAACTCTTTCGCTGCGGCGGCGAGATTAAATTTCCAATTAACATTCGAGCATTATTTATCGGTGGCAATAAATGTGTCCTGATTATGTTTGGCTTTGGGTTCGGCTTTAGGGTCTGGCGGCGGGCCCTGTCTGCTTTTGGCCAGTTATTATTCTATTGGAACCGGCTGAAGTTAGACGGAGGGTGGGCGGAAGTAAGCCTCCCAGTCATTAGTTTTTATTTATCACCCACTAGCTGCTTAATCTAACAAATGTTTTATGGGCTCAAAGTTAAGCAGACCGCGTTGTGGGCATTACAATTATCTCCTGCTGTCTATGTCCAATGTTGTAAAGTGTTTTAAGAGTTTCGCATGCACTTTGGCCAATCAAAACAGGGAAATGTGGCCATATGCCGCAAATCAAAGTGACCTTTTTGAGATAACAAAATAATAATAATGAAAGCTATCTCTATTTCAGTCCGACTTATTAAAAAAAGTGGTTGTTTTTGCAAATTTAAAAAAAAAATTTATTTTGATGACTAGAATGTTAGAAATAATAATAATAAATACATAGAATGGTATGTTGGATGTATGTAGAACAATTTTTAAACACCCTAATATTTTAATTTAGATATGAAAAACAAGAATATATTTTAGACTCATATCTAAATATACAATGAAGATCATATTTTTTGCCTTCCAATACTATCTGTATTCCAACCATTCTCAGTTACATTCCATGTTCAGTTTAGGTACCTTGAAATTTCATGAAAACAAGCAGCTAGTTTGCAATTCAGATTTTTGCAACCTTAACAACCTTCATCGTTCGATGCACTCACATTAGCAGCTGCTTGAAATTTAAGCAGGCGACGCTCCTTTTACAGGACGAGCAACTGGGGGCAGCAACATTTTATGGGCTGCAGCAAGCAAATGAGACAAGTCATTAACGTTTACGGCCCACATCGTTGAGGTCCTCGATAGGCCACGTCTATGGGTCTAGTCCATGGCCTTTATGGTAGACCCGACGATTCTGCCGCTCGTTTACCTGTTGCATGCTGATGATGATACTGAAAGTCATTTGATGACCTCATTTCCCAGACTAAACGAACGTATCCCGGGGATTTATGTGCCCATTGCTTTCTTCAAGCTGCGACTGTTTATTTATTCATGTCCTGCGGGAGGGGTTTTCCTTTTGATTTCACACCCACTTCAATTACCAATGAAGCCATAATTTATGTAATTTATGAAATTAGTTGATGATTGTAATTGTCTCTGCTATTTTAGGGAACTGATATCATTTTTGTTACATTCGAATTTACCTTTGAAGTGGACTATGATTACTTAATTTATTAGTTAAGAAGGTAAGAACTATAATGAATATTTTTGGACTTCGAATGGACGTTAAAGGTTAATACTTTAAGAGGTAAAACCGATAAATAATGTATGTAATGGTTAATGTGAAGATTGATAAGCTTATTTGGCATCTTGATTTATTATTTGAAATATGATTAATTAACTAGAAACTAGAATGTTAATAGCAGAAAAGGTAATAAGTTATTTGTTTTACAAATACCTAAAATCAAAGTGCAGTTCTGACGCCTTTGCTTAACGCCTCTAAGAGGAATATTAAATATTAAATATTTTTATTTATGAAAACATTTATTTATAAACCTAAAAACTTTCAAAGATTTGATTTGATGACCTTTGGCCAGCTAGTCGTTACGAAAGTGTCCGAGAAAGTTACTCCATAAGTGCTGAAATACACAAAGGGAGCCCATATCACGTTTTTTGTCAGCTTCTGATAAACTCAATTTAAGTTTGGGCCACAAGGCCATGTCCAAGCTGTTGTGTGGCTGCCACACGTTGCACCATCGACCTGGTATTACGGATGCAATGTGTGCGGCTGTTGCAACGCTTGAGCTGCAGTTCCATATCCGCTTTTAATTGCGGAAATGCACTTAAGCCGGGCTAAGGTGAAAACCGGAGTCTGAGGCGGACCTCGCCCCTCGCCGCCCTCCCAGAAGTATGCACGTCACGTTTGTGGCAACAAGTGTCCTGACTCACTCCAATCTGCTTTGTTACGAGTCCTTCTGAGCCGTGCTGACGCAAAAGTGTAGTAAAATCATAAATATGAGTATGAAAAAACAATTCCACTGAAATCTGACCTTTAATTAAAAATGTGGCTAGTGGAACTTTGTCACATTTTTTTTTGCACTGCCCCCTTCACAACACTTTGAGCTTGGGGATTAGCCGGCGACAAAGTCGTGGGTTTTCCCTTTGAAGTTGTGCAAACATTTGCATTAATTGGTATACCACAAAAGTGCGCCATTGAATAATTTAGCTTAATTGGTTTGGAGTTGTGAAAAGAGCTAGTGATTAAAGTATCTAAGTATAGAGGATTACTAAAATATGTACTAAAAAGAAAATGTGCGAGAAACAACTACATTTTAAAATATATCTACCGTGTTTGTTGTGTAACTTAATAGTGCTTGTTCGTAAACCCTTACATTAGAAAGATATTATAAAGATAATGCCCTAAAAAAGGGGAGCTCAACGATTTTCAAAATTGTTATACAGACGCAGACTTTAAAATATTTAATTGATAAAAAGCATAAAAATAGTTTTAAAATTTAAAATTTGTTGGTTTTTTTTTGCTTTAATTTATACTTTCAGTCCAGAAGCGCTTCAAAATGATGAAATTCGTGCAGATATTATTGTGCTACGGCCTGCTCCTGACCCTGCTCTTTGCCCTCAGCGAGGCTCGTCCCTCGGCAGGCGAAACAGGACCGGTGAGTAAACCAAGTTGAAATGAATGAAAAACAAAGATTAATGGCTAATCCGTTTAAGGATTCGGAGGGACTTGATGGTCAGGAGGTCGAGGAAGTGCGAGGAGCCTATGGAGGAGGTTACGAGATGCCAGCCCAGGCCATCTATCCCAACATTCCAATGGACCGGCTGCAGATGCTCTTTGCTCAGTACAGACCCACGTGAGTAAAATTAACAATTTACCCTTTTAAATAGCTCAGAATTTTGGGTAATTTAGCAGTTACAGCGCCTATTTGAGGAGTCCCACCTATGGCAATGTGAACGAACTCTATCGGCTGCCCGAGAGCAAACGTCAAGTTAGATACAGGCAGTGCTACTTCAACCCCATCTCCTGCTTTAGGAAGTAAGTTCCCAGCGAACAGGAAGACATACCCACAACCCACATTTCTTGGATAGATTAACAATTCAAGCATTTCAACAAACCAAAAATAAGCCAAATATAATGTTTAGCATAATGGAGTACCAACAATTTAACGCAAATATTTAGTGCAATTAAACTAAAGCTAAGACTCAAAAATATATCCATATATATACAGAAATCTATATATATAACTTAACCTATTTAAATGTCTAAAAATGAATGAAAAAATGTTCCATTGTAGTTACCAAAAAAATAAATTATGTACCTATTTATTTGAATATTAGCACAAAAGTTACAAATTATTACATTTCGTTTCTTGATTTACGCTTTGCATATGGTGTGGTAAAATAAAATACAATGCTTCCTTTAGCTATTCGTCTATTGAGTACACATTCGAAATAAATATGTGCTTTTGTAAATTTAAGTGTCCCAGCTCTTGTATAATAAAAAGAAATTATCAAATGGCAAACTGAAGATTGTGAACTTGGAGTCATTTAATACCTACACAGAACTATACATGTAAAATAAATCTCTAAAATAAAGTTATAAATATATACGTATAAAATAAATGCGCCCAAATGTTTAAAAAGAATTTATTTACTTTTTACTTATAAAGGGATGAATGTTGAGTTTAAGTCCTACTTTTAAATTAATATACTGGCGATTAAAATTTTAAAAATTTATTTTTGTTAAATGCTTTATATAAGTCGAAAGCCAATCAAACCAAATCAAAGTTCGTTGTATTAGTAACATTTTTTATTTATTTAGAATCATCACATTTTAAGTTAGTACATATTTTATTACAATATTTCTGTTAAATTCGCAATATGACTATACAATTTTTGTTTTGAATACAATTTTTTCAATATTTGTTGTATATTTGTGCTTAGCAGTTTAAATGAATTGACAATTGAATCTTAGTAAATTTTAATCACATTTATAGAACTAAAAAAAGATTTGATTACTAATTTGAGCTTAGCTTAAAATTTAATGTTGCCTCTGAGGCAGTATCCTTCCTTTTTCCATTGAGCTGACTCGGAATAGAGTTCTGAATTCCATATCACTGATTTTCGGCCCTAGGGTCCTCGGATTTCCGTCAGGTTTTCCCGTTTTCTGTTTTTAAACTTGTAAACGCCTCTTCTCCAGGTTTTTGGACTGGCACTTTAAACCCCGCCGTTCCATTTGGATGACCAATCGATCCGGGGTGGAAATCTTGTAGCCATTGCACCGCCGGTAGCGCTCCTCGATCTTCAGCGATGTGGCCACCATGAAAACGGAGAAGACCAAGGCGATTAGATAGCGAACAATTTGCATATTGTGACAAATGCCGGTAGCAATCAAGACTGTTTGGGTGACGGGCTGCAGTGCTTCTTTTTATAGCAAGAGTAGCTCGAGGTATCCCAGGATCGGTTACCTGTCCTTTGAGACCCTTCCTCCGAGAGGATTCCAGGGTTCGCTGATGGATTAGGACGCAGTTTTATGGCCGCGACTCGCCAATAAACCATTCCGCGCTAATCCATTCGCTCATTTCCACTTCCTCTGCTCGGATTCCTCGATTCTACACGCGAATCCCCAGATGAACTGCGCACGATACAAAAAGGGAAAACTAATTGCCCCGGCTGATGAGTGGAAGTTCCAAGAAGGAGTCACCATGTCGACCTACCTGATGGGACAGCGCCTTTATGATCCCAGGTCTCTACGTCTCTAGCGCTCCTCACTCTCTTTCTGCCATTAGACATTTTAATTGTTAATTTTTGCAAAACGAAGTTGGGTGGGGGAAAAATTTAAATAATGGCCAAGCTGCAGGCATCGGGCAGCAGCAGCGAGAATCCAGGAATCCAATGGCTACCTGCATTTATTATCTGCCCGGCTCCACCCCGCCCGTTGGTTGATCTACTCGGCCCGAGTGCCATCAACGTGAAAACAAGTGGCAACAATTTTCTATAAATTGCATTTGTGCAAAATTAAGTTCAATCTTGGCCGAGTCGCGAACCAGTAGCTGTATCTCTTCGGCCAGCATCCGCTGCAGTCGCCCAAGTGCCCCTCTACCGATCCCCAGTTCGAGCACCCTGCTCCCCACCATCTGATCTTTCACTGCTGGAGTAGCCAAACTCCATTAACTTTGCAATTGGCCACCATAACTCGTCCGTCGGTCGCCCGCCTTCCTTTTGCCCGTCGCCGTCACCTTGCCGCCCATTTGGCCGCCACATCCACATCCACATGCACCTCTGCCTCCACATCCATCCACATCCCACAGAGCGGCGAGCGAGGTCCATTCCATTCCAGTCCAGTCCCGGCCCCATCGCTTGTTAGTTTTTGCGCCAGATCGTTTATAATAATTCGTATGCGAGTCATGTCATGCCCCTAAAGTGTATCTGCAACCGCGCAGTCGCAGCAGCATCAGCGGCAGCAGCAGCAGCAGCGCAGCAGTCCAGTTGCCGCCGGCTGCGCCTGCGCAGAAGTCGCGGTCGCCGCGCATATCTGTATCTAGTTGGTGGCTCCAAATGGAGATGACCGCGTGACACGATCCACAGGGTGCAAATATTAATTATGGCGAGTTTTGCTAGGCGTTTAGAGGGATCTTGGGTTTAAAAATATTAAGAAACAGTTTTACGGCCTCCCTAACTACAAAAACAGCCTTGTGTTTTATAAAAATTTAAAAATTGTACTATAACAATTTATTTGATTATATTTAGTACAATTTATTTGTTAAACTCTTAAGTTATCATTATTAACCAATAAATTTAAAAAAATTCGGATGAGTAGGTACATATTCTCCTTCATCGCCAGGTAGCCAAGTGAGGACGAGAAAATGACCTTAAAAATATCAAGTAGGTTTTGAATGAAATAATAAAATTTTCCTTAGTAAAGGACAGTTTTTCCAACCCAATACAATCTTTTCAATAAAATTGAAAGGTGTTATGGCCTGGAAACACTTATGACTTCCGAATAACTATTTTAAATACATTTTTGATCGCGGCTTTGCAGCTTTCCAACTTGTTTAATGTGTCTATGTTCTATCACTTATATTTACTATTAAATCCTTACAATGTGTAAGGAAAATTTGTAGGGCGTTCTATTGCTTGTAAAATTAATTCTAGTGGGCGAAATAAGTTAATCAAAACTCGAAACTTAAATTTAAATGGGCCTGGGTTGATTTTAATTTTCTAAAACTTAATATAAAAATTTATAATATTATAGAAACATAATTATTAAGTAATATTATACTTAACGACTATTTTGCTTGTAAAGTTAATCCTTAGAGTCCAAAATAAGTATATCAAAACTCCAAAATAAAACATGACTACCAATAAGGGTAAAACGTTTTTTACTTTAAAAAAATGTATCATACAAAAAATATGAAGTGCCCTGTTTTTAATCAGAGAGCCCTACCTTACAAGAAAACTTTATTCTGTGGAGCATTATGGGGTTTGTTCTGGTTTAATTTTCTTAAATGAATCTAAGTTAGCTCTTGCTATAAAAACTTAAAACGAGCTTAAAATTTATAATTTAATAATTGGACTGTTCAAAGCATTATATGACCACATCGCACTTCTAACCGATATATTTACCCTTCGTAATCCCTGTTAGTAATCTCCCAGTCACGAAGCGCGCTCACCTCTGGCCAATGGAGTGGCAAGTCTTGGGATCGCCTGCTCTGGCTTGTCCCGATCTGGTCAACTATGCAACCGGTGACTCGAACTTGACTTCACCTGGCTTGATCTCGCGCCCGTTTCTTTCTCGCATAGCTTTGGGTCGCCACCGGTTGGCTCTTTCTCCATCTCCCCGATCTCCAGCCCCTCCCCGGTTCCCTCCTGCCCGCTGTCATACCACTTTATCCGCGGCGCTTTGTGCTGGTTTTGTTCTATTGGTAAAAGGAAGTTAGAAAAATGCTCTGGTTTCACGGGGCCTCTGGTCGGGGCCAGCTGAGGCAGTGGCCTTAAGTGAATTGTGCTGGATGCCAGCTGGGCCTGCTTGGGATCTCAGGAAGGGACTCTGAAGATGGATCTGTCCTAGCCTAATGTCATGGAACTCTGCAGCACCCGATATTGATTCAAGTTGGCAACAGTGAAAGTTCGAACATGTGGTAAGTCCTTTTATATCATTTACATTTTAACGCGTTTAAATAGAAGTTTAAGTCATTATAAACAAAAGTATTGAAAGTACATTTTAAATAAATAAACCTTTATAAAATGTAGCCCTGTTTTAAAAATTCGAATTTTTTCCCACTTCAGTACATTTTCTATGAAAAATTCCCGAAAGGCAATGAATCCATTCATATCCAAGAGTCTATTACATTTTCCCATACATCTTAATCTAATATTGAATGCCAACCAAATATGTTAGGTCATCATAAAGCACTTTTGACACTGATTTAATTTTTGGTTATGAGAGGATTCGATCCCCCAAATCGATAAAGACAACTGTGGCTCTTAGGATGCCTCAAAAGGGCAAAACAAGAAAAGAAAAATGAAATTGCTAACAACTTGGAACAATAAATGCACTCCTGCACTGCGAAAATAGTTATGTTACATTTAAAAATAAATTTAGAAAACCATATTAATGAATTATTTGCTTATAAACAATTTGCCATTTATAATTGTAGTACGCCTTAACTTCATGTAAACCAAACTAAAACCGTCAATTTGATATAATAGTCTTTATTTCGGGTTCTAAATTACATGCATTTAGTTTCTTAGCAATTTGAGAAAAGCTAATTAACCTAAAATACTATTTTTTAACGTGTGATCCAATTGGCTTTCGAACTCCCAACGTAACCGGTAGTCGGTGTCGTGGCTCTTGGCTGGCCATACCCATAGCCATACCCATGGCCACATCCACTTGGCCGTGGCCTAAACCATCGCCATCGCCAGCATCGTCGTCACCATGTCGTCTTGGACAATGTTGCTATGTTGCTCTTATTTCAGAACATGACCAGCGTCCAATGGGAGGCCACGGAGGAATGCCTTAATTCAGGAATTTAATGAAAAATGCTCTATGAAGCGGTGCAGCAAATTAAAAACAGAAAAAAACCGAGGCAGCAGCCAGGAAAAGTTGAGCGCACAGAAGCCATCGAGGTGGAGTGGCGAGAACGAGAACAAAAAGGTTAAAATTAAAATCTCCGCTCACTTGTTCTTCTTAGTTAAGCACTTTTTTTCAGTATACCCTGTTTTAATAGATTAATAGGGTGATCTGGTGGGGAATAGGATTAAAAAGAGATTAGAAAAAAGGTGTAACATAAATAAAAAGTCATCTAGAATAAATATAAAAATTGCCTACACATGAAGCTTCCATCCTTCTTTAAAACGCTTTTAACCAATATCTATTTAAATTTTAGAGCGTGGGAAATCTAATACATCTTTAGAAACTAATTTAAAAATGTTTGAGAATTTTAATTAACTTTTTTATGGTAACTAAGCAGAATTCCGTTGTTCTTATCTGAGTTGAAAATGTTCTTAAAAATAGAACGACCTTTTTGAAGTTGAAAATGTTTTCATTTTGCTCGAATTACTTTCTCATCTCAAAAAATTAACTATTAGTCCAGTCAGTAGTGAATACTTATCAAAAAAATGTTAAATAATCTCAATTTAAATTTTTTTCTACCCATTTCGTTCTAATTTTTAGAACATAGAACAAATGTTCTCAATTCAAGAACAGTGTACTTGAATATTTCTCTCTGAATACAATTTAAATGTGTACCCATCAATTAATAAACAATATATTATTATTTAAAAATAAGTCAAGTTAGTTATCATATTTTGAAATCTGTTAAAAGGCGTATAAATGTAATACAAATATTTGAATGTAATAATAGGTAGCTTAAGAATAGTTTTTGTCCCGATGGTCTCTATCTTTTTTTTGAAATAGCTTTTTCAGAATAATTTAACTAAATTATTCGTTTAAAATATTTTAGAGTGGTGTATTAGAACTACCTTTCGACTTGATGATCTCTGAGTTCCTTTGGGAATAGGTATCATAGGGTAGCTCCCATCTCGATCACACTTGTCCCGCCGGCGGGCTCCTGTTTCCTTTTTTTCGCTGCTTGGATTTCAATCCGAGCGCGATTCACTGGCGAATCGGTGGCTGTGAGAGCGGTGTGAGATCGGTGGCAGGTGATGCCGATGCCGTTCAACTTTGAGGTTGAGTGGCTCTTGATGCGACCGAGACCGACCAAAGTTGACCAGTTCCCCGGGCGAATATAATATCGAGTGTATGTGTGTGCGAGCGAAGTGGTCGCTGCTCCGCGCCGAGCGTTGTAAATTACATTTTCCAAATGCTTTTGCCATGTCGAACCAAAAAGCCATGTACATATGTGGCATAAAGGAGCGGCCTGGCCTGGCTGTGCTTCCGTTTTGATTTGGAACACTTGTTGCCTCCAATGCTGCGTTCATTCGGCTCTCCGCCTCTGGCCTTATAGATTTGTCCTTCGGCCAGAACGACAACCAGAAACATTCATTCCTTGGGGATATGGCCATTGGCCACTGGCCACTCACAGATACACACGCCAACCCGATGTTCCTACATGGATTCCTACATGGCATTTGGGATGCCCGGTGCTCGATGCTCGATGCTCCTTCTCGATTCTTTTTTTTTTTTAGTTTTTTGGCCCTCTTTCCCCGGATGCGTATTTAAGCGTTTTGTTGTTGCCCTCGGATTGGGAGGCTGCCGTTGATTATGTTGTTGTAGTTTGTTCAGATTGTTGTTGATTTGAGTGTTGATTGTTGTTAGCGGAATGGGTTCGTCCCTCGGAGCTGTTGGCTTCGATTAGCTGAATGGCAGATCCTCTGGGGATCGGTGGGAAAGGTGCAGCAAGTGGGTAGAATAAAAGGGGATTTTTTATATCTCTAGTCCCAAACACTTTGGACCATTATTCTTTAAAATATTACATTGGTTGAGAGAACTAATTACAGAAGAAGTAGTTGACAGATACCAAACAACCATATAACGTAATATTTTAGGACGAAAAATGTTAACTAATGTTAAATTAAGAATTAAAAAATGTGAAGTACAACTTGAGTTTATTTTATTATTTATTTCTTAAGAAGGTATTTTGATACAAAATATATTTTACCCGTTCTTCGTTTTTGTTTGTTCTAAAGGAATTTTTCTAAGCTTAGTATTTAAAGTCTACATGCCAATTTTTTGAACGATACATTTTTTTTTTATTTCTTTAACCTCTTAAATATATTTTCTTTTTTTCAAGAAAGAAATGTCCGTACTTAAATTAAACTAAATTTAATTTGTTTAAGTAAGGAATAAAAGAACTTTATCAAACTAAGTTTAGATAGAAATTTCTTAGATATTTGATGTCTTCCTAAAATAAAGATTCTGGTTCCAGGATCTCGAATGTGGACAGCGGAAGAACATCATTGTCAAAGTAGTTCGATCCACCTGGAGCCATCTCGGGGGCCGGATGATTGTAGAAACGCTCGAGGAAGGGACTCCGGGACATCAACATCTTTGGGCTGTCAAACGAGCGCCTCTTCAGGAAGTATTCCCTCTTATGTGGCCTCCTCATGGGTGATATCTGGTCCATAATTTCGTTGCTCATCCTCCTCTCCGCCGGCAAGGAATTGACCTCATTGTACAGTGATGACCTCGACCTAGGTCGTGCCCAAGCGATGAGGACCAAGCAGGCGATGACCAGGATAAGAAGGGCAAGTTTAGAGCTCGACATCTTGACTGCTTGGCAGTTGGATTCTGAATGTGCTGAGGGTGTTGCGGTGTAGAGGAATTTATAGTAGTTAACATGTATCTCAGGTAGTCAATATGGTTTACCCTCTAAGTATTTTATAATTATGCCATGTGTTTGGTTTTACCTACCTTTTATTGCCAACAAATGTGTGCCAATCTGTTGAAAACGGTATTCCGGGATTTTGCATCCTTATAATTATAGTTTATAGGAAACTAGAAATTAGCTGTAAAATTCTAAGTACCATATTTTGCTGAAATCACTAATATTTTAGAGAATTAAATTCTTAAAATTCTTAGCTTAGTCTAAAGTTTTTTAATAGATTTTGATAGGATTTCAGCTAGCCTATTAATTAAATAAAATTGTAAACTCAGTTTACGAGGAATTAAATTTGAAGTAACGTCGAAATGTAACTTTTAATAACAGACCTTTAGCATTTATTGTATGTTTTATTTTAATATGATAAGTCCTTTTGATTAGTGTATCATTTGATATTTGTATACGATCAATACACACAATGGCATTAAAGGTTGCGGGCTATTTAGATAAACGGTCCCAAGGAGTAACTACTTTGAAATCCATCAAAACCCACAATTTCCCTGGTCATTCCACTCGGGGCCATCACTTAACCCATCCACCTCATCAATCTCGGACATTTGGCTAACTATCCGCCAGGCGATCCTTCTGGGGACGGAGTCACTTAGAGTCGGCGACTCCACTCCACTCCACTCTAGGCATCAAGATCAACTGGGATTGGATGCGATGCCATTTCATGTTAATCAAACAACGAAATCCATCAACAGGTGACACACACCGCCAAGTGGGCGGCTGGCGGTGGGCAGAGGCGGGCGGAAAGCGGGTGGCGGACGGGCAGCCGCGACATCCAGCAGACATGTCAGTGCGATAATGGTGCTGGCGCTACTTCTCCTCCAGCGAGTGGACTCGAGTGAGTATCTAAAACAACTTCATTCACAAAAATCGGACCAACAAAAAAAGTGAAGAAGCAAAGTAGCAGAGCATCTGCAAAAAGGAAGCTGGGCCATTAAAAATATCTTGTGGATGCCACGGCAAGGCAGATAGCAGCCGCCAGAAGAGAAGATGCATCCGCAAGGGCAGGGGTAGCACTTGGTAGCATCATCATCATCATCATCGGTTTTAGCCGCGGCTTTAGCTCCGGGAGCCGCAGCCTCGAAAGCCCCATCTGCGGGGGCGGTGACGTGGCGGACGGGGCGGGACAGGTCGCTGGTCGGTTTCTCGGATGGTCGTTTGGTGGCCATCGACAGCCAGGGGGCAGGAGCAGCCAAGGAATAGCCAAGAAACATACGCCTAATGCCACAGTCATCGACATCCGCCATTTAGCTAATTAACCCAATGCAGCTGAAGGGGGCTTGTTCTATGGAATTGCAAGGAGGTATAAGATTGTCTTCTTTTAATAATGTTTTCTAAAAATAAAACTATAAAAAGAGTTTATATAACAAGAAATTTGCTTTATAAAAGAAAAACTAAATGAATATCTGTCTACTTTTATAACGAAAAAGATATAGATTACTTTTTTTGTGAATTATTGTTGTTTAGTTTTATAGAAATATTGCAGACATAATACTAAAATGGAAAATTCTTAATTGGTAGTCAAAAAGATCTTTGGGATGCATTTCAGAAAATTGAACTAAATATATTCAATTTAAATGATATCTTAGTTTTGGCGGTTAGTATGTATTAGAAAACAAAGAGTGTTTTTCGATAAAAAGCATAGATCGAGTGAAAATTTAGTGAGAATTTTATCAATTAAAAAATGAATGTATGTATGTATCAAAAATTAATTTTATTTTAATATTAATTAAAATTTAAGAACCGTAAAAGCTCAAGTAGTAATGGTGTAAATCCTTCAGACACCGGCACCAAGGGGTTAAGCGATCGTCCGTCAGAGAGCTTTTCTCCCTCCATCCTCCATAATTCCGCTCCTTCTCTCTCCCACTTTTCGTGGCTTCTGACGCGACTTCTTCAGCTTCTTCAGCATCTTCTGCTCGGCTCCTGATGCCGCTGCTGCTGCGGCTGCGCAGTCGCAACTGTCTACATTTGTCGGCCTGCCCTCTCTTTCCCACCTTCCTGCCGCCACCGACTCTTCCTCGCCGTGTTCGTCTTGTTCTTCTTCAGTCGATTGGATGTCCAGCTTTCAATTTGCAACATAAAGCATCTTCATCGTGGGCCGCATGAATGGGCAAGTGACTGGAAAGGCAGGGGGTGGGGGGGAGTGGGGCGGACTGGGTGTGGGCTGGGAGCTGGTTCTGCACCTCTGATCTGCCAGTCCGGCAATCCAGCAATCCAGCAACCCGGCAATCCGGCAATCCGGCATTGACGGTAGGCACTCAGGCGTGCCCTGGCGGTAGTCGCTGACCTTTATTGATTGCTGTTTGACCTCGCCAGCCATTGTGGCTGTTGCTGTTTTCGCTCTTGCTGTTGTGTTGCATCTCCTAACCATTTGTACTTAGCCGATCGCTGGCATAGATTGCACTTGGCTTGCACATGGCAGAGGGGAGGGGGTGAAGGTAAGGAGAGTGGGAGGGGGTCGGGTGGAGCAGCTGTGGGCGGATGGGGAGCGGTACACGCCCACTAGCATCGCTGTGTCGTTTTGCTTTCTGGGTTTCGAGCAGCCTTCATTGTTACTGCTTCTCTTTCCAGTGCACTCAAAAATAAAGTTTATTTATTTAGAAAGTGTAAGAATAGTACATATTGAATACAAATATTGGCTTTATTCCATTTAACAAAGATTTAATCACGCTAGAACTTTTTTAACCGAGGATATTATCCATAATTATTTTAGATTATTATGTTTTGGTATTTATATTAGATTACATTTATGCTGATAATTTAATAAAAGTTTATTTGAGTATTTTTTTTGTGTTTAATCATTAAAAGGTCAGAAGGTTTTAACGTGTACATTTATCTTATAATGTATATGTATCTTATAAGAAAAGGTTACCTAGTAGTAAAGTGATTTGACTCTATTTATCGGGTGAAAATTTTGCGTATACTTAATATTTAAAATATTAGAAATTCGCAAAATCGTCAACCCAATTATCTTATAAGCTAGCATTCCATGCTCTTGCTAAAAGTGTTTTAATTTTGGTCAGTGATGGAGAACTTTCCGACATTATCAAGTAAATGTGTATGTTCTTAATCTATGCTGTTGATTTAAAACTAAAACAGCCGTCTTGAAATATATGAAAGGTGATGGGACATTATATCAAGTATATCCCATAGGAATTTTTGAAAATACTTAAAAAACATTGTCATTCTTATGAACGGTGTGCTGTGTAAAAACTTCAAACATGAAACCGTATAGGTATAAATTTCTCATATGTATATACTCTTTATACACAATTCTTCATATCATATTTTGTATATTTCCAAATTTAGTTTCCCTATTTGATAATCATAATTTAATATATTAATAAATATTTGGAAAAATTGTACATTTTTTCTCTGTGCTGCCACTGTTTTTCTTGTTATTGTCGCTCCATTACCTCGTTCATGGCAGTTAATTTATATTCGATGCATCTCTCGGTCCTTTTCTTGGAGCTTCGATTTGGTGGCCTTTTCTTATTTTTTTATTTTGAACTTCCTTTTTGATGTGTCGTTGTTGTTGCCGCTGGCGTTGTTGCCGAAGGTCGACGTCAGTCGTCTTCGTCGGTCGTCATTGACGCCTTTCCTTGTACTTAGTCTTCCATTTGCCATGCAAAAACAAAAGACAAAGGCAGGGTAACAATAAACAAGTCAGTACGCTGGAACTAGGTAATTCGACTTTAAGATACCTGTTAGCAATAAAATATATTCATAAAATGCTAGAAATCTACACATAGGTGTTATAATATCATGGTGAATCTTAAAATAAAGATTGTTCAGTATGATATACCATTTATATACACATAGGTGTTATGATATTATGGTGAAGACTAAAATAAAGATTGTTCTGTATGATATACCATTGAAAAAAGTGTTTTGTCGCTGAACTATATACACATATCAGAATATATTTTTACAAATATGTATTTAATTAGTTCCAAAGCGAATCCAAATGAGTTAAGGGCTCTTTACTTGTTAATGTTTTCCTAATAGTATACCCCTTTAGTACCGGGTACTAAAACGCAGCACACTTTGGAAGCCTCGCTTTGTTTGGCTTCTATCGTGTAGTTTGTTTTGTTTGACAGTTTCTATCTGGAGGGGCTATCAAGAGTCGGAGCTGGCGAGTTGGACCTGAAGTTGGAGCTGGATCTGCAGTTCGGGGCAGACGGAGACTGCAGTTTTGTTTGCTTAATTGTTTGGTTTCCCCCATTTGAATGGAGGTGGAGCCCCTTTGGCAGGGAAAATCGTTCGCCTTACTCGAGGTGGGGGCGATATTTTCCAGGGAAATAAATTAGCTGATTGAGGATAACCGCAGTTAGTGGACTGGGAATGGTGGATTCGAATGGCGAATGCAAATGCGAGCGGGTGACGTACAAGTGAATTATCACCTCATACATTGAGCCTCTTCGGGGAGATATCTCCATCTTGTCGCCCTAATGGGAATCTGTGATGATCCCATCGGGAACACGATTCGGTCTTGTTTTAATCACACACCATATCATTATTTAAAGCATTTTAATCTTCTTCCGTTGGAAAGAATGTTGCAAGAACTATAATTACACTGGGTTACATAGGTTACGAATCCAGTGCGCTCCAAAAATATTAAAGTCCATCCTGTCTTTTAAACTTAACAATTGCATGATTTTGTCATGATCTTCCCATTCTTTAAGTTAAAGTCGATTTGTCCTTTGTAGATCAAGAGATTGGTGGAAATGACGGAATAATTTTGTATTGAAGAAATCTAAATAAATAGTTAATACTTTTAAGTAGGATAGTTCTGAAGAAAGTTCCTTTTCTTTTATAAAATTTGCCCCTGAAGGTAGGCAACGGATGGACACGCACCTAACTGATTAGATTCTTAATGGTGATCAAGGGTCAAAAATAAATCGATAT